TCATAAAGTTTTTCAAGAGAACAAAGTTTAATAGCACCTGTGAATATCCTGGCAGCCTCGTTTTGTATGGAAAGCCATGGCTCTCTGAAATTGTTCTTTTTCAATTTATGTAACCATTTGGATAATATATGAGTTCACTTCGACTATATATGAATTGAAAACACCTTCTTATTTAACCGGAATCCATTATATTAATCCACAGTTACAATATATGAAACCATACCGTCAGTGTATGAAACCGAGTTAGCAATATATAAGGACTGAGGTTAAAGTCACCAACAATAGTAATGTTTTGTTTCTCAGAATTAAGTCCAAGGTCAAAAGATTGTTCAATTTTAAGGTCATACTGGGCTTTAGAGGTTCCGCTTTAGAATTTGTTCAATCCAAATACATTCAATATCTAAGAAATCTAAGTCATGCATTCGAGCATAAGCTAAATTTTCGTTGACATATAATATAACACCACCATATTTATCATGCCCTCTGTCTCTGTGCTCGGGAATATGAAAGTTGTTTAATAGTTGTGCATTTATGCTAACCGATGAATGTAACCATGTGTCGCTGAAAGCTACTACATGTAATTTGTCAAAGGAATCGAACTATGTAATAATACTATCTAGTTTTGGTAATCGACTCTGAGCAATAGACAGTAATAAAGAATGGATAAGTTATGTGAAATATCAAATAATGTATGTGAAAAAATATATTAGCTGACCAAGATAACAATAAACAAATAGAGAAAACAACAACTGCATTTTTTAGAGAAAAAAGATTTTTTGTAGAATGCACTAAAATTAGCAAAACATGTTTTAGTCATGCCTTTCATTACAACTGGATAAAAACAACTGGCGTTAAACTCGAAATATTGGCGGAAAGACAAGCAATACATTCTTTATCATGCATTGAACAAAAGTACTTTACAGTTTAAGCATAATTTATTGTTATTCATTTTAAAATATTTAAGTCAAATATCCCTTATTACATATATTTCTTGTTATCATAAATAAATGTGCTTATAGTTGTAATAAGTATAATCTTAGTGGAGACTCTTTGAACATAATACTTCAAAATCGTCTTCTTACGTCCCGGTCAAGCGATGTCCGACCTAGATAAAAGTGCATATTCGCATTAAAATTCGATTTCTTTGTCATACCAACTGGTCTAATATTGTACATTTTTGGAAAACGAAATCATTTCTGAGTAGATTGGACTTTATATGGTGAAAATTGGTTGACAATTAATAAGGATCTGGGACTTCAAATAAAGCCAGGTGATAGTTCCGCCAGTGAAACTTTTTACCTTTATTTTTAATATTATATAGATGAAATTATTAGAACAACTTTCTTTTGTTGTTTTACTAAAATTTTGACTTTTTAAAAACATTTTGAATAAATAAATATTTAATCTATCAAAAAGAAAAAAAAAGAAAAAAAAAAAGATTGGAGTGGTCATGTACATGTTTATTATTCAAGCCACGTACCGACTGCCTAGAGTGAACAAGATGTTTACCAACGTTTGAGAAAAACGTTTTCCCTTGCACTTCTTCCGGCAAACGATTTTAGCCCAGCGTCCCAGCTTAATATAACAACGAAGAGTTCAAATCAACAAACGGACGCCTACTTAAGCTTGGCACTTGCCCCTCACCGCTGTGTGTTCGAATCCCGACAGGGACTTTGGAATCTTTCATGACAGGAAGCTATCCAGCTAGCTTACGGAACGTCGGTGGTTCTACTCAGGTGCCCGTTCGTGCCTGAAATAATGCACGGAAGGGCACCTGAGGTCTTCCTTCACCAGTAAAGCTGGGACCTATACTGTGTCGATGTGACGTAAAACCTAAAACAAACAAACAAAAACCATAAGCTTGGACGAACGGCGAGGACGAATAACGACTTTTAATGGTGGCATAATTAACTGAACAGACTAACCGGGAAAGGGAACTATGTACTTGTATCCCTTCTATACAAGGCAATTTCTTGATTTTGAAGATCTGTATTTGAAGGTTCAAAGTATTGTTTAAGGCTTGATATAATGAAAGGAACGATTGCTGCAGATATTGCTGTCATAAATGTAAGGCTATAAACAGCAGCTTTGACAAGCTCACATTCATCATAATTAGCACCGTGAACTAAGACTGATGCAATTTCAATATTCCGAAGATCTGGAAGAGACGCCTTTTTCTAAGGGGGTGGTGGGGGAAATTACATGATCACATTGAACACCATCTGATGGACTCACAGTTTCACCGATAGTATGTTTGTTACATGTGTGTTGAACTTGTTTACATTCAACATAATTGTTTGATGTATAATATAAAAGAATACCGATGATCAAGCTAGCAACACAATGCTTTGATACCTGGTTGTGTACAGTTTGTACAGTGTTTTTGCAAAAGTTCGCAACTGAATTAATCTCTGATGATAAAAATTAAAGTTATATCTAGAAACAATACAATTAGACTAAAGCTAGCTGTTATTTTCGACTTTTTTCTGCTCTGCAAATATTTTACTTCTACACCGCAATTTCCGGAATTAGAATTAATGTTATATGTATGTATGCATGGATGAATAACTGTATCACTATGTAAGAGTTCCCCCACAATTGGATACTATTCTTCAAGGTCAACGGTATAAATGAGTCAAGGTCAATTTCAGTTTAATATACCTGAAAGTCTTATACTAAAGAATGATCTATCTTAATATAAAGTCAATCCATTCATTACAAACAAAGTAATACATGAAGCCAGTTACAGCGAAAAAAAAGAAGAAAATTTAAATAATCTGACCTTCAAGGTCAAGGTCATTTATGACTGAAGGTGGAGGTCTGTCGGGTCAACTCCGGTTCTATCCTAAAAGATTGTTGTATTTAAGTTTGAAGACAACCAATTCTAAAATAACAAAGTTATAGCCACTAATAGCAGAAATTAGCAAAAGTCGAACAAGATTTAGACATTTGACCTTGAAAGTAAAGTTCATTTATGAATAAAGGTCAAGTTTAGTCTGGTCTACTAGAAGGTCTTGCCCCAAGGGTTATTGTGGCCAAGTATGAAGACATTACAACTTAAAAAGTTATGATTGCAGAAAAAAAGCAGAGCAAAACAAGGGCAACAGTGTCGCAATATACGCCCGCCACAGAAGCTTTTGAGAGATGCGGGCATTACAGGAGATATGCATATAGGAGATATGCTCTGGGCAATATCTGGATATATTATCATCTCTAGTGATTTTTTACGTGAAATTTGACCCCTATGTATGACCTTGACATCTTAGCCGCAGGGACCTAAATTTTGCGTGCGACACTCCGTCTCACAATTATAAATGAACATTTGTGCCAACTTATACTGAAATCCCTCTATGCATATAGGTGTTTTGCTCCGGACAAGCGTTTTTCAATGACCTCTAAGTGTGACCTTGACCTTTGACCTAGAGACCTGGTTTATGCAAGGGACACAGCTTCTTATAGTGGGGAACATTTGTTTGAAGTTTCATTACAATCTCTCCGTATGTGTAGGAGATATGCTTTGGAAAAAATCTCTATATCTTATCATCTTTAGTGACCTTAACAATCATCTTAAGTGACCTTGACCTTGCATATCTTAAGCTAAATTATATGTTTCACACCAGTAGTCATGATAATGACCATTTGTGTTTCAATCCTTCAATAAATGATGACTAATGGGTCCCAATATATATTTTCATATTTTTATCTGAACTTTGACCCCTATGTGTGACCTTGACCACAGGGACATAAATTTTGCGCGCAACACTGCCTAACAATAGTGAACATTTGTGCAAAGTTATATTGAAATCCCTCTATGCATGTAGAAGTTTTGCTCCAGACAAGCATTTTTCTATGACCTCTAAGTGTGACCTTGACCTTTGACCTAGAGGCCTGGTTCATGCGTGCAATACGGCTTCTCAAAGTGGTGAACATTTCTATGAAGATTCATTAGAATCCCTTCATATGTGTAGGAGATATGTTCTGGACAAAATCTCTGTTTTATCATCTGTAGTAACCTTGGCAATCATCTGTAGTGACCTTGACCTTGCATATTTAATCAAAATTACATGTTTAACACCAGTTGTCATGATAATGACCATTTGTGTTTCAATCCCTCAATAAATGATAACTTAATGGTCCCAATATATATTTTTATCTTAATTTTGACCCCTATGTTTGACCTTGACCATGGCTGCATGGACATAACAATAGTGAACATTTGTGCCAAGTTTTATTGAAATCCCTCTATGCATGTAGAAGTTTTGCTCCGGACAAGCGTTTTTCAATGACCTCTAAGTGTGACCTTGACCTTTGACCTAGGCCTGGTTCATGCTTGCGATACGGCATCTCATAGTGGTGAACATTTCTATGAAGTTTCATTAAAATTCCTCCATGGGTGAAGGCGATATGCTCCGGACAAATAATGGACGCCCCCTGCCCGCCAGAGGGAAACTATAATACAACCAGTTTTTTGAAAAATGGGCGTATAAAAAGGATTTCATCAACATTTGATAACGGGTGTGAAAAATTTGCATTTAAACACATGTGGGGAATTGATTTAATCCTGTGACAAATTGTTATATGCCAAATCATTATTGTGGCGAATCATAACATTACCTGATCTGCTGCGGTGGGATGGTAGCTGCTAGTGAGACCCTTTAGTAAAGTACGACCAATACTTATTTTATAAAACAATGAAAATAAATCTGGATTCTATTTTTTTCTAAATGAACATGGGGCCAGATTCCCTGAGGGAAACCAAATATAAAATTCAAACCAGTTTTTTAAGCTGTAGGACGATGGTAAAACTATATATATGTACCTCTAACAGGCTACTTCTAACTGTACCTCTAACAAGGTGCTTCTAACATTTTAAAAGGAATGATAATTAAAGCGAGTCAAACAAAATATCCTAACTTAATAACAGTAAGCCATGATAGATTACTTTTGTATATCAAACATTGGACAAAAATATATCATGATAAAATGAAGGTAACAACCAATAAATTATTTTCTTATTTATTTTCATTAGTTTAATTATTGCATTGGAATAATAATTCTAAAATCAACATTTCATATAACAAAAATAATAATCATTTAATAACATAATTAACAAAATCATAGAAAAATAAACACAACTGGCACTACTGATAAATATAACAAATGAACCGTAAAAAACACAACTTTGGCATGTAAGTTATTAAGCTCCACATTCATTGGGGTACATCATGTACATATTTCATTCTTTTGCTATAATAGTAAACAATTATTGAATTAACTCAACAGTACAAAATCATTACCATGAAGATAGTTTTAGTTTCATGTACATGTGTATTTTCTATTCTTTTAAACAATAAAGTACCTTTGCTGAATGTTAACAATCAACAAAATTGCAAGTCTTGTATGACAGCCCAATATGACCCTTAATTTCTAAAATGGACATGTCCTGCTTCCATTATTGGAACTGTCCATTATCAATTAATTTTAAGGGTAAGTTAAATGAAAATTCAACACAAAATGGCAAGAAAAATTATCTTACTATCAAAGACAGTTGTTTATAAAAACAACAAAAAACAACATATTGGTGGGAAGTAAAATCATTGTTGTAAAATAAGTCTACAAGTTGAACTTTGTGTTGGCAATAATTTTATAGAGGCAACTATTACCACTAAGACTAATTGGGATCAGTTAAATATAAACATAACAATCTACTAGTATATAATTAACAAGCAAGCAATCCTTGTACCTTATCATCTAAAAACACATAATTAACAAACCATTAACCTTTGTCTAAATATATTCAAAATTGAAGAAAAAAATACAAAGCATTTTAAACATTAAAGCAGCATGCCTCCAACTTTTTTTAATTCTCTATGAAAACTAAAATATTTATACTTTCCCGTGAAATATTGTACAATTAAAAATGATTTTACCGAACTATTTAGTAATGCATTTCATTTTCTAGCAATATTGACCTGAGACTGATTAAATGACCGAAGACTTTTCGGTTTCCTGAATGCAATGATATAGATTTCCATAATTAAATCAATAATTACACCCCGATGGCCAAGTGGTAATTACAACAAAACTGTAGTCATGTAGTTACATGTCTTCAACAAATCGTATTTTAGATTTCTTTGATTATTTTTTAATTGAACAGTTTAGTGATAATATTATGCAGCATGAACAAATCAAAAACATTTGTTTGACTTCCGTGTGTTTATTATTTATTTTGAAATAACTTAATTTCGATAAATATGTTTAGTAATTTTAATATGTTAAGTCGTTTTTATCAGTTATTCACATGTATAAAAACATAGTTGCAAAGTTTGGCAAAATATGACTAAAATATAACAATAAAAGAATAAACAGAAAAAGAATGATATTGCATCAGGTATAGAAACTACAAACTTCATTTTGAAACTGATAGTGTTTTCACTGAGGCTATAAAGACAAGTGTTATGTTACTTTTTTCAAGTTAAACCATTCTGCCATACTGAAGAATCTGTAGGGTTTACTTCTGAATTTGATAAACAACAAAACGTCATTGAATATTGAAATGTCTCAGGTCATAAGTTTGATTTTAACATTTATTACATGCATATGGAGGCATGCCACTTTAAATTCATATATCAACTGACAAAAACTTTCATACTAAACTTTCATACTATCACTTAGACTAACAAAATATATATTCATGTCATCATTATTGAAAGAATTTGTCTATAGCTATCTGATGAAATATATTATCATTATAAGAGAAATTGTGTGTTATTTTACAAATGTTTCATATTCCTGTTTAAAGGGGTTTTGAATTCTCAAACATATCAATTAACCTGGTATTGCATTTAAAATAATACCAAAATCACAATGAAGATAAATATGTGATTTATAAAGAATAAACAGAAAGTCCTTGACAAAGAGGGGTTTAACCCCTCGAAACGTTGGAAACAGAAAAGTTTGTGTAGTAGATAAATACCAAAATCACAATGAAAACAATTCTCCTTAATGTGAACAAAACTTCTCATCTAAACCATACAATGTACATTGTAATAAATGTATATACAAATGTATATATATAGGTTTTTGAAAAATATTTGCATCTACAAAATACCTTTCAAAAACACTGGATCCCAAGAAGGATACAAGAACGTGGCAAAAATAACAATAAATTTGGAGAAAATAAACGTTCATACAGTGCTAAAGTATAAATACCCAAGTACTTTTGGCGTATTATGCCTTCATCAGGGGTGTATTACATGTATATATATATGATATCAATGATTATATGCTCCTTTTCAAACTAAATTTGAGAGTAAATACATGTAGTTACTTTTTATGTTTGCTTCTTAAACTTTTTGTCAAATTGTTCTAGGTTTTATGGAAGCATTTGGGAACCTTTGGTTTGTTCAGCAGAAATCACATAACTTAACAGATAATATGCCATTTCATTCATTTTATGAAATTCTTAAATTGTATCATAGCATGTTTTAAACCTGAATAAAATGTAATCAAATTAAAAAAAACAAATCAAATCAACAAATTCCCCAACTAAATGCACTGCTTACATATCAAACAAACATCAATTTGGCCTTATTAATGTAAAGTTATATTGCTATATAATTAATCATACACAACAAACTCTAATAAATAATTACAAGAACAACACTTCACATAAAATTGCATAAATTGCACTTTGATTAAGAATAGCACCACACATTATGATACTGATTTTAGATATGGAACAACTAATGACTTTCATACACAAAAATAGTAAGACATTTAAAGTTCATAATGACAGAATATAAGAAGAATATAAAAATTAATTCTACTTTTGGATGGTTTTATATTATACCAAACTTTTTAAAGTAGTCATATGATGAATTTCAAGGTTAAACAGTGGTGGAACACCTCAAATGTCGGTAAAATTAAATATTTCAGGAACCAGGAACAAGAGGGGACCTGAGAAATACAATCAGACTTCTACAGCTAGCTAGATAGCTTTCTCATATGTCACAATCTAAGGTCCTGTGCTGAAAGTGAACACACAGTGGTTACAGGCAAGTGTTTCAAAGTCAACTTAGCCACAGAGACTTCACCAATAAATGCATTCAACGACTAAACATCATATTTCTGAGAAAAAAAAACAAACAAAAAAAATAGCATAGATTTATATTCTGTTTTAGACTAATCTTTCAATATCATTACTTCAACTAATCACAATATTCAGATATCTAAAAAAAATCAATCAGAAATAATTTGTAATTAAACATATGAACTTTCAAAAACTGCAAACAAACAGCTAACTAAGAATGAACTTTTCAACTATTTCGTAGGTTTTTTTTTTAAAAAAAATTCTTATAACTTTTGAATTTTTTTATGTAAACTACTTCAGTAACTTATGGGAGCCAACCATACGTGGAATGGCCAATCTTCTCAATTGTTAAACTATTAAATGCCTTTACACATAATTCTGAACATCACTTGGCTGAGGTACAACAAACCTTTTTATCGATATGTACATGTAAATAACTGACTACAATTACAAAGTTTTTTAGAACCAGGTAAACTGTTTATTGACTAGTGAAAATAACATGCATAAGTAATTTTCTTTATATTTGGTTAAGGTGACACTTTACGAAGAAACATGACTAGTTAAAGAAATTTATTTTCTAAACCTAGCTGATGAAAAGTAATGTGTTATTTTTGTTTTTTTTTCTTAAATTTACAAAAGTGTGATATGAAATAACAACACATTTCAGTCTTGTTTCATCACATGGTAGTATAGAAGTATTTCACATTGTATGTATCAGAAGGCACTACAGTAGAACCACTGATGTGAAGGAACTCAAAATTTGTGGCAGAAGTCACACCCAGAGTGGTAAGGGGCAAGTGATTTGGAGTAAGCAGCTTTAACCACTTAGCCATGGAAACCAGTAAATGGGAATATAAAATCACTGCTAACTAGAAACAGCATTCTAGTGTTTCTATTAAGCTCCAGACATTGAACTTAGGAAAGTCTCTGGTTTCTGTTTGTACAATGTATTGGAGCTTTCTGTTGATAACTTCAATGCATGGAGGCTCATACTGGTGTGTACTTGTTCTTAATTAGATACTTATCACAAAGAAATTGCCATTTTTATATTGTTGAGATAGGCATATTAACATCTGCTCCATGCTGTTATAGTACAAACATTTATACATCTTTGAGAATACCTTATTAAAGCTTACAAAAAAAACAAAACAAAAAAAAAAGCCACATAAAAACAAGAAGAATTCTCTTGACTGATTACAACACATTGTTAAATGACCAACATTGTCTTGACATAAATGAAATTTTGATAAATGCATCTTGGATTTCTCTTAATCATTTTCATACATGTATGTAGTTTAAGGTACAAACACATAACATATCATTAATAAAAGGTTGATAAAAAAAATCAAACAATGGCTGCTTCCAATATTAATGTTTGCAGCCAAAAACTCGATATACACAGTGCAATATTAACATAATCTATAATTAATGATGAAATGACAATAAAATAACTCTAGTCACACTTATTATTCAAACAATCATTTAATCAAAAATCACCTTGAGCCCTTATTAAGTAAATGTTTGTTACATTTTATAGGAAATCAAAATGATGCTCATGGACTGATAAAACAAATATAAAACACTAAAATATATACACATTAGAGGTGCCTCATTCATTAGTGTAAACAAAAACTCCTCATATACTGAAATATAAAACAATCCTAAAAGGCCCATTAAGCCTTAAAATGCTATTATTTCTGATGGCCTTTCAATTACTAAAAATGCATATATTTCTGAAAACAATAAAGCCATAAAATGGTCATTATTTCTGAAAGACCATTTAGCCACAAAAACTGCTGTTATTTTTTTAAAGCCCATTACCCCACCCACTCCCCTCAAACAAACCACTATTTCTCAATTCTGAAGGCCCATAAATTATTTTTGACGGCCCACTGAACCCTAAAATGACATTATTTCTATACCTGAAAAGTTTTATATTTATGGTGTTATGTTACAATTTCAAAAACAAAAACTATAATCATTTTCCATATAACTGATACATCTTTTGCTTTTTTGACAACTTTGACCATTTCAATACAGATACAGTAAATTAGTTTTTTGTATGGAAGAAAATATCCCACTAAAATGTTTAGCTACATTTGTAACAAATTAATTCACTTTCAGAGCTGATTCCTTCATATCATAATCAGCTAAAATTCACTTAATCCATTATCAATACATTGTAACGGTATTCCCTTTTCATTTCGGAGATTTAAAGTGTCTTTTATGCTATGTTCAAATGTTATAGAATTTCCTTTTTTTAAGTTTTCACTTTGCAGGAAACTGAGTTATATGGCATCTAGAATATAATTATGCTTTGAATTAATTTCTTTTTCATCAATGATCAAACATCTTTAAATATACAAAATTGTAAGTTATCATCTAAAAAGTAAAACATGACTTTAGGTTAGCTTACATCATTTTGAATCCTACCTTTTTGTAAAGTCATTTTTAAAAGATTTTTCTGCACAGGTTTATTAACATCAACTTTGGAATGCCTGGATGCTTTAATTTCATCAAGATCAGGCAGATGCTTGTCTTTATCACCAGTATCAACTTTGATTCCTAATTTCAAAATGTTGTCATTTACATTCTCTTTACCTTTATGATCTATTTCATCATCAATGTCCTCTTTCTCATAATCCTCTTCATTTATATTTTTGTCCAAATCCTCATCACTATCAATCTTATTATCTATATCTATTTCGTCATCATCTATTTCAATTGTAGCATGAATACTTCTCTTTCTCCCCAAATTTTCATCTGTCACATTATTATTACCTCCCTTGGACTGTATAGTACTCTCAGAATGATCTCCCTTGCCTTCAGGCTGGTTTTTCATTTCATCACTTTTATTACACTCTTCTTTGATGACTGTGTCATAACCATAAGGTTTTAAATGATAGACAAAGTATTCTAATACATACATCATATTTGGAGGAACATAGTGGAAACTTATTGCATAATCACTGCAACAATCAGGACCCTAGAAATAAACAGAATTATTGATAATACTATTTCTTTACTTGAACTGGACAGGTGAGAAACACTTTCATGAGCACAATAGTTATCACAATTTTAATGCTCAACAATTAATACAATATCATTGCAATAGGTTTTTTTTTTTTATAATTTGCCTTTGAATTACATTTAGAAATCTAAAAGAGACATTCAAAATGTTACAAATCCAGCTTCCACTTACTTTTTATAAACCATAATTTTAATAAAACAGCAAATTAGTTTCCCAAATACAAAATATTAGTCATCATCAGAATGAAATCTAATATATCTCTGTTGCTTAAAGTCTATTTTGTGACAGGCAAATTAAGGTAACTATCATAACATATCATCTTAAGCATATCTTCAGTCACTCAAAACTGCGCACTTTTTATGGCTGATAAAAACTTAGACAAACAAGAGCTGTCAGAAGGACAGCGCGCTCGACTTTTTTAGTGCTTGCCTATAAAACAAAACTTTGACAGTTAAGGGCACACAAGACTTTAACTAGGAATTTCTAAGTACAAATCAAGAAACATTTTCACAGAGTTATCTTCTCTTGCTTACAGATAGGTCTCATGATGGCACATAAGAACTCCAACTTCCAAAGTAATATCTCAAATGGTTAGGTCAACAAGTGGACAAGAATGAAAATTTTAACTGAGTTTCTAAGTCAAAAAGGGCCATAATTCAAATAAAATCCTTAACAGAATTACCTTCTCCTGCCCATGTTTGGGACCATGATGGTAAACAAGTATTCCAACTTTCAATTTAATATCTCAACCAGTTCAGTCAAAAAGTTGACTGGTACAAAAAAACTTAACCAAGATTCTAAGTCGATAAAAGGCCTTAATTTTTAAAACAAATCCCTGACAGAGTTACCTTCTCTTGCGTACAGATGGGGGTAATGATGTGAAATAGCATTAAAAGTTTCAAAGCAATATCTCAAAGGGTTAAGGCAATAAGTGGATTTTACCCATATTCAATGTATTTTCTAAGTCAAAAAGGGGCATAATTCTGTCAAAAACCTTGACAGAGTTATGTCCTCTTGTCTGTTGATGAAGGTCGTGATGGTAAACAAGTATGGTCAGTTTCAAAGCAATACCTCCAATGGTTTTGAAATAAAGTGAGGTGGTACAAAAAACTTAACCAAGCTCAATACACTTTCTAAGTCAAAAAAGGGCCATAATTCTGTCAAAAACCTTGACAGAGTTATGTACTCTTGTCTGTAGATGGAGGTTATGATGGTGAACAAGTATGGTAAGTTTCAAAGCGATACTTGTAATACTTCTGAAATAAAGTGGGGTGGTACGAAAAACTTAACCAAGGTGTGACGCCAACGCTAACGCTAACGCCGACGCCGGGGCGAGTAGGATAGCTCCCCTTTTCATAGAAAAGTCGAGCTAAAAAGTAGAGATATTAACATGACTTAAAGAAATTCACCTTATTAAAGATTCTTAACTTTTATATTAAAGTTAATTTTTGAAAAATTGTAAAGATATCAAACCTCTTTGGCTGGGTGGTAATTATATGACCAGTACCACATATCCTTTGGTAAGATCCCAGGTATCAAATGATGTTCCGGGACAAATGGGTGGAAACGCTCTCGTTCCAATTCATCTCTTGAGTCCCCGGGTTTCACGTCTACTGACCCTAGACACTTGCCCATCTCAAGATCTTCTGCTCCCCCACCATCTGATCGACATTTGTCTTTATTGTCAAGTACAGTTGCCAGTTTCTACAAAATTTTAATGAATTTCAATCAACATTTGTCTTTTTTTGTCAAGTACAGTTGCCAGTTTCTGCAAAATTTTAATGCATTTTATTCAACATTTGTCTTTATTGTCAAGTACAGTTGCCTGTACCTGCAAAATTTTAATGAATTTTGCTTGACATTTAACTTTATTGTCAAGTACAGTTGCCAGTTTCTACAAAATTTTAATGCATTTTCAATATACTGTTGACTTATTTTTGATACACACCATGCCTAGAGTAACTATAACCCTCACACACAATTCTTGTTGGCCCTTTAATCATTATTTTTTGAAGGTGAACAGTTGAACTTAAGAAAACCTTCAGGAAGTATAGAATTTATAATACAAACACAACATTATTTGATATTTGACCTTCATTAATGACCTTAATCTTTTGCATGAAAAGGGTAGCATACATTCTGCACATCAGTATGCTGATATGAATATTTTGGTTTGAAGAAAATCCTACAAGGGAGTTATGGAGAGAACAGAAATTGCCTGACATTTGACCTTAATTGGTGAATGTGGGGCAACACATTGTATGGTAAATTTAAAAGGTACCACAGACAAAAATATATAACTCTTTCAATAATATTTTTACTGCATTAGCCTGTGTTTTGATACAACTAACTAGCATGTCATCATCTGGATAGATCAATAGGTGGAGCCTTGGACTGTGAATCAGGATATCTGGGTTGGATTTCCGGACAGAGCAGGTCACTTTCATTGTGATTGACCATAATATCCTTTATACAGTCAAATACTATGTACCTCTACTCTTGCATGTACAGAAGTCATAAATTCCTTGTGAAAATGAAGGAAACTTTGTTCAGGTAAACTGCTTGAAAGCCTTCCCAGGAAAGATGCGGTGGCTGAAATGAAAACTACCAACACCACAACCACCACCAACATACTTAAGCATGCCAAATATAATCACAATCAATGAAATATTTCAAAGTTTTCATCTGGAAGCCAGTTATTTTACAGGAAGTTTGCTTAAAAAGGGGCATAACTCCATCAGCATTGGGTCATCTAATAGTTATGACCAAGTATGTGAAATATGAAGACTTTGTGATAATAGTTTTTAAGATAATCAGCGGAAACCATGTCGTCAACTGACAGACAGACTGACGATAAACATTAAGTTTTGTGTTGAGTCTTCAATACTTTTTGAGTTATGCCTTGGATAATTATGCACAAAAGAGTTATGGTTCTTGGGTACTGTATTCCTCCTAAACAAATTTAACAACATTTTAAAGTTTTAGGGTTACAACTAATATAGATTTACTCATGCCAGTGTGAAACATGTACAGACATGACAAGGAATGGAAAGAAAGGGACAATACAATTGTAGTTTTCATGGCCAATGCCCTTTCTGTATTGTTTAGTTATGAATCTCAAGTTGTTATTTTGTTGTGTTTACATTTAACTTGGTCTTTCTTACTTTTGTAAAGCTCATACAGACGGACTGACAGATAAATGGAACAAGAGGGCCATGATGGCCATGAAATCCATCACCTGAATATAAAACTCTCTCCATGACAAAGGCTTTAATTTGAACAAACATGGTAGACAACCACTAGATGATGTTTCGTGCTAAATATCTTAAGTTTTTCTTTTGGTTGCCATGACAACCAGAGTTCTGCATGGAATTAAATACTTTAAACAATTTTTATAGGTGACCACCAATGAACATTCCTAAGAAGTTTGGGTGATAATTGGCTTAGCGGTTTATAAGGAGATGGCGTTTAACATAAAAGTTTACAGACTGAAGACGGACAGACAGATGGACCAAAGCCGGACAAAAAGAGATCACAAAGCTCACCATGTCACTTTGTGACAGGTGAGCTAAAAACTGACAGACAGATAAAGTCTTTATCCCATTTGGTGGGGGATAACAAAAGACATATGATTATCACCTATAATAACTGATTGTCAAAAGAAAGCATTATATCTAAATGACACACTAGCATAAATAAATACCTTTAGCGCCTCTTTACTGAGAACATATCCTGCTCCCCCAGACATGTAACCATTCTTCACATATGGTTTAAAGTGGCGGCCATAAAAAACACCCGTATCTGGATCTTTGTCTTGAAGGAAGTATCTGTGGGCAAGTGTGAAAAATAATGATAGTGTTATAACATGCTTTTCAGGGGACAATGAAATTATATCTTGATAATTTAACAGTGAAATTATAAAATATAATTTTCACAGTGAAATTATAAAATATAATTTTCACAGCAAGAAATAAGTGAGTGGAAATATCATCAGAAATACACTCTGCTGAAAGTAACATGTACTTCATTATGAGAAACATAAGAAAATATATAAGATAACAGAAACACTTTTCAACAAGATCAATGTGACATCATGATCTGAGAGTGCATGTTGTTAGGCCGCAACACTTTGTAAAAATATACAGAAAACCACTTAAAAGTATGAAATAAAGAGAAAACATGTATATTAATTGTATTAACAAAAGTGTAGCTGAAAAGTGTGAAATGTTAATAAATGTAATTACTACATAATTGTTATTAATACAACATTTCTAGTTAAAATGTTATGTTATTACATGTAAGACCAATGAAGTGGCAATTGTTAAAACTCACATAATTAATTGAGTTTTTGTTTTAAATGACAATGACAAAATGTATATCAATACAAGGCTTCTACCCAAAAACAACATAACATACAATTTTCAAAGCATTTACAAACAGTGCAATATTGTACATGTAAAATTATGTTTAAACAAAAATCTGGTTACTATCTATACAGTGGTGCGCCTCTTCATATTTAGTCATTATAAAAATGTTCAAGTTCTAACCACGAATATTTCTCTTTGTTTTAATTGAATTATCTGTAAGCAAGTTTAAAACATGTATGATGATAGATCATGTCCATCATGTCCTGATACTTAGTTTAATTTAACAGATATTTCATCACCATTTAAACATAAAGCAATGTCTGTTTGGTATCAGTGTTATTTGATACATACAATACTTGGAATGACTGACATATTTAATGGCCTGACAACAGGCGGTAGGATTTAGTTGTGCAACACTTATTAGAGGTAAGATGTACAATTTTCAAAGCAATACAACACTTGCATTCAAACTGTGATTCTGCATTGTTGGAATCATCTGAAGTTTCCCTAAAAAAATGTTCCCTCCCAATTGATCCCTTACATACTTTACTCACTAAATATATTTTTTTTTCTCCACAAGTAATGATTAATACACATGCAATTTTTTTTTTTCAAGTCTATAATAATTGTCACAGGGCAAGGTTAATGTGCAGGCCGACCGAGACTAGAAACTGGGACTCTGGAATATCACACTGCGGTTCTACTGACTGAGCTATGTGGCAGTCTACACACTACCTCCCCTGATTAGTGATGGTTCAATTAACCATGACATAATTATTTTCAAAATAATTTGGGATTCGATTCTCATACAGCAACTTTGGGTCTCCTGAAGAGTTTTTCAACATCATTTTTATCCCATCTTACTACTATGTTTACCTTTTAGCCCTAATAGTTCTGGAATTTCATTCATTAAAACACATCAGGGGATAATTGGGAAATATGTCACCTGTCATCATGGGAGGTCTGTACAACAAGTATTTAGAGATAGAACATGTCATATCCTGTAAATCTAGTATTAAGTTGTATGGATTCAAGAAATAGTAGCCTTCACACATTAAGATTTGCTTGTACATCAAAGTTTTTGTTGGTGTTGTACTACAAAATCCTACCGTCTGTGGAGGCCTTAAGGTGCCTGTTTTATCAAGAATTCTTCAGTTTCACTTTAATCAGTCTCTTTAAATTGTGTCAAATACATTACAAAATAAATTTAAATTTTCTGCTACAATTATAGGAGTGTCAAGAAACTACAACTCTATAAAATGATTAAAAACAAATTATATATGACAGAAAGAGTAGTTTCCCTTCAACTTTTTGATATGATTGACACTTCATGAAAAATTCTAGTTTTATACCACAAGAAAATAAATGTTAAAATTTGTCTGTTTATTACAGTACTGTAAAATGAAACCACTCCATGTTAATATGTTACTCAGTGTATTTACAATCTTTAGCTGCCAGTTGTGAAGAAAAAATGTCCAGAGCTATTATAAACCCCAGAACATCAAAAGAAGTAAACCAAGGAGCTATAAATTTTCCTCACCATATTATTAAATCTTTTATTTGATCAGTTTAATGTAGCATCTGGAATAATGTTTTAAGAAAGAAAAAAGCATGCATATAAAATAAACATATTTGTAATGACCATATTGACCGATGGGGAGTGGAACAGTGGAAGTAGCTATGTATGTTCTTTATGACCAATTAAAAAGCAAACATTTATGTAAGAAAGTTTTCTACTTAAATAACAGTAGATAAGTTATTCAATCCAAGTCCCTCTTGTGTCTGAAATAAACTGAAAAGGGAGCTGGGCTGAAAAGTCATCAATTGAAATTAATAATTTTTAGAATGTTACAGTGTCTGTCTGACCTAATGCCAAAACAAAAGAAGTACATTGTATACAGGGATCATGTCAATACTTGGTTTTAAGAAAGTGACTTTTCCCTCCAGAGAAAACAAGTGTTTAACTTAACAGTGTTATCAGGTGATCTTTCAATCTTTCATGCCATAAAATGCAACAACCACTGACAGTATGACAAATCAAAAAGTAGGACATCTAAAATTGCTTTCACTTCATTATGAACAGTACAGATGAACTAACTACACATGTATATATATGAATTGTTATCTAGTCATTTTCAGTAAAACTATCTGGTTAGCCTAATAGATAGAAGATAGAGGATTGGACTGAAAATCGAACGACCCAGGTTTGATTCCCAAAAAATGCAGGCCACTTTTTGTTTGAAATCTTTTCTATGGTCATAGACACTGTACATCTGTTCTGGCGTGTACAGAAGTTATCTGCTCCTTAGGAAAGTGAAGGCAACTAGTACTGGTAAAATATTCACAGCCTGCCCATGTGGTGGCTGAATTGTGCTCTAGTGAATTCAAAGTGGCTTATTGCCGTGATTTGGAAGGTAAACTATCAACACCACCACTATTTACAGTAACTTCATGTGTTATGGTATATACAATAATGTAAAAATTAATGACATCAAATAATAAAGACCTGTTTTTTCATTGCTGTATAGTTGCAAAAGGTAACCTAGACAAGGGGACATAATTCTGCAAACACACTAACCAGAATAACCTGCCCTGAATAGTCAACAAATAATTCAAGTTTTAATTAACCGTCTTTAATTTTTTATGAGAAAATCTTGAATGGTTTTTGAGAAAAAGATAAAATAAAAGAAAATTATTATTATAATTAAAAAGCAAAAATGCCTTTCAGGATTATCTGCCCCTTAAACATGCATTTCAAATTTGGTAGTAAAGTAGTACTTCAAGTTTAAAGAGAACAACTATGATAGTTTTTTGAGCTAAAAAGTGTCTGTTTCATGTGAAATATTTCACTCACTGTAGTCCCTTTTGCCAGCAGACACATTTGCCATATTTCATATAATGTATTCAGCCAGACGTATTCCAAACCAGACACTTATTGTATCATTTGTGTCTTAATTTTCTTATTTTGATAATAGTAGAGTATTCCCCATATTTACAACAAACAGCTCTTTATTCAAAACATGCAAATTCTATTACGAAAATGTGTCAGGCAAATTAAGTGTTAAGCAAAACAAATTACTATACCAAGCAAACATTAATGTAGCAACCAGTGTTAAAAATGACAGGGAAGGATCATCAGCTGCAGGGCATGACAAAGGCTATGACCTGAGCAAATGAAAAAAAAATCTTCCTGATATGTTGGATAGTTACATACACAACAAGAGCTATCACTTAAGGTGATTTTCGGTTTTTATCAAAACATACATATCCATTTATTGATATAGATTCATTATATCTTATCATCAATATTGCTACGTTGATAAACATACATTCAAATCTAGAAATGTGTCAATAGAACATAGATGCTCCCACTTTCAACTGTTTTGTCAGCCTATGGATGGACTGCCTGACAGATGGACTGAAACGAGCAAATTCATATCCCCCACTCAAAAAATAGTGGTGGCATATAAATACAATATGAAATACAACTATAATAAGAGTAACAGAGAAATAGAATAAAAGAAAAAGATGGACTGGTTACCTCAAATTCTCCACTATAACATATGTGTCGTCATCTGCTTTCATGAACCAGTCTGCCTCGTCTATGTAATGTTCATAAACATATTTAAATGCAGCTTTAGTCTTAGCCCAGAGGTTATCCCGTCCCTCAGTTACTTGAAGGTTTACAGTTGGTAAAGAACTATCTTTTGATGTACTCATGAATACTGAAAAATAATGACACTTGTACATTATTACATTAATTTATAATCAGGGAGAGCTTTAAAGTGGCTTTTCTACCAATAGTCTTTTTAAAACCCCTAACCCTAGCAATGTGAAACCCTAGAATCAACCACAAAGTCAATATCACTGCACACATCTTCACCATTACATGATTATTTAATATTAACTTCTCAATAAGCAATGCACAGTTTATTAAGAATTCAAAAATAATAAAACAATGTACATTATGTATGTATTAACTTGATTCATTCATATTTAACAAGTTTGTAGAAATTTATATTTACCATATCAACTATATGTACAAGTAAAACATCTAAATTTCCGTCCACTCACCTAAAATATTGCATCTTTTCCCCCAGGTAGCTTTTACATGTTTGGCTTTGGTATCATGATTACTTGGATTGGTCATGACCCAACACAGGACCTTTACTTTATCAAACAGTTGCTTAGCAACAATATCTGAAGATTCTGAAAAAGAAAGAGAAAATAATTGTCTCTTAGCATACAGCTTAAAATTGCATTCACAATTTACCCTTACACTACTTACCTGATGGAAATGACTTTTTCTTTAAATTTCTGTATTTTAATTATGGTTCTTTGAAGGAACTCCACTGAGGTTTAAAAACCTCAGTGGATAACATTTGAATTTCTTACATAAATGAGCTGGGGTACTTTAAACAGAAATATGCATAGATAGTTAAGAATAATACTTTGACATTAATTAAATATTATATTTTTATGCTTTTCTTAGCCCGATTTGAGTGAAAAGTGTTTAAATGCTTTTCATTTTGGGTCATTTTTTTACAATTTGAATAATTATATTGAAAAACAATTTTAGTGTGCAAATGATCTAAAATTTTGCACATAGATTAGTGGTCTTAACCTACATCAAATGGTACATTAATTTTATTTTATCTTTCTGGGAAAAATATTTTCAGTACCATCATGTCAAAATACCTCAGTGGAGTCGCTTTAAGAATTTGATTATTAATATGCTTAAATCAAATAGAAAATTGTTCTAGTTCTCAAATGTTAATGAAATTGACTTTGTATGGTCAGGGATAAATACTAACAACCATAATTATTGTTGCAGTGCTTTTTAAGCTTAGGGGCTAAAATTCAACCCCACCATGCCTTCCAAAACCTTATACATTGTATTTATATATTTCCAATTTTTCTATAAAAAATTAAATGCCCAAAGGCAACATGTCGACCTTTTTTACATCAGACCAAGAGGTATTTTTTTGCCTTTGACCTTAAAGTATGACATTGACCTTTGACCTATCCACATGGCTGTTATGTGTGACATGCCTTAATTATCATTATTTTGAACATTTGTGCTAAGTTATTTGAAATTCTGCCAACTAATGACAGAGTTATGCCCCAAACAAGCATATCCTGGATGGACACACATACATATACTGAACTATGTCAAGCTCTCCACAAATGGGCTTGACAAAAATTATTTTTTCATACCCATTTCAACAAAAGAGAGGGACACATCTTTATAAACTAGACTTTGAAAAGATTATGATAATTTGTTTATGAATTTAACATATATTTTAGACTAAATGGCTGAAGCTGGGTTTTTTACTGTTTATTGGAAAGAGACCTTTAAAAGCCCTTTGATTATGGAAAGAATTACCACTTATGATTTGGGAAAGCACAATAAAAGTAATTAAAGTTTGAATGTTAAGGAAAACAGCATAATTTAAAAAATTCTAATAGGAAGAGCCTTTTATAGGTGAAATACCCAGGTATTATGTTCTCACCAATTATGTCAAAAAACATTCTTCGTAAGTTTTCTGTCAATTTTCATCAATTATAATTGTATTTTGTGAACAAAATACTTTTTACGTTCAAGTCGATAAAAAATAATTTCTTCCAAAGACGTGTCTGAATTGTGATTTTTCGACCAGAGTAAATGATTTATCAGGGCCATTATTTCACAATTTTAGATGCAAAAATCTTGCCTCATTCTCCCCCAAATTAAAATATATTTCCCACTATTTTAATTTTCAAAAAAGCCCTATTTTTAAAATTTAACTGCCAATAGCAAGAGACCCATAAATACATGTGCTCACTCCTAAAAGAAGTTATCTAGAGTAGGGTAAGACTGTCTGTAATGTTATAATTTGTGAAAATGGTACTAATTTACACTATTAAAATGTAGTTATTACATATTATGTACATGTAAATGGGGAAAACAATCATCATGTGTTCAAAAATGTATTGATTTATTATAATTACTTTACCAAATGAAGTCTCACAGTTTGATGTACATGTTTCTAATGTTTCAAGCTATCAAATTCACAATTTTTTACTGACTAAAATTTGACAAAATTGTGAATTTTCATTGCACAAATGTTAAAAAATGATACTTTTTAGCTTTGTGAATGGGGGCCCTATTTCAGTCCCAAAACTGTGTGAGAAAAAAAACCCTCTGAATGTTTGTTTTTGAGATGAATAAATGAGAATGACATCTCTTTTTATTTTTAAAAGCAGAAATTGGTATTTTATTTGTAGGGTTATCAATATTAAAATGGCTATGATTCACTTCAGGCCAGTGATGTTTTGCCACTCCACTGAGGTGTGACAGGCAATTTGGTGTCAAATAAAATAAATAATGAATAAATCATCACCATCAAGGAGAACATGTTATTAATTATTTACTTTCAAAAATGTATAATCTAAATACTGTATATGTATTTCTATCCAAAATAATGACCATATACCTTAAGCATAATACATTTTTCAAACCAACTGAATAAATAATTGTATATTTTAAAGTGGGGCAAATTGTTACTTAAGAAGAACCTGAGTATTGTCACTTAAAAGTGGGTCTGAATGGAGCAATTATGGTCTCTTGGGTGAATCATTATATTACCAGTTATAAGGGCCTTCGTTGTTTGTGACAACATTTTACATAGTTACCAGGTATCTGACATGATTATTGATGGACTTTCCCTACAGCGTTGGCTTCAGGGTACTCATCCTGTCACATTCAAAAAACAAGTGTAATACTATACCTTAAGCTACATCTGACCTCCAAGTACCTATAGAATCATGGCCACCCTTTTTTGAGTCCTCAAATGGTGAATAAATGCCTATTATAGACCTGGGGGGTGTGCCAGAGGGCAGAGGGGGATGTGCCCCCTTCTGCTTATGGGTTTGAAGGGGGCAACAACTGGCCCCTCATCACCAAGAAGATTATGGTTTGTGAGTGGCTAAAAAATTGGCCTCAGGTCGATCATAATGGTTATGTGTAAAAATGTTTTGAAAAGTCAGACCAGTTTAATGCATAGGCCTTGTCAAATCCGCAATAGCACAGGAGATGAAGTGATTGTCTAACTGTCGAATATATTAGGGGTCTGTAGTTTGATCCCTACTTTTGTAATTGTTTTTTAAGGCCTACTCTATTTCTTTATTTTTGCAGTATATTTTCATGGAAATGGCAGAGTGCTTCCCATATTGAATATGTGAATATATATGAATTAACTCAAAAACATTGTCTTGATTTGTATTGTTTTTACGCCATTGAAATGACATTTTCTAATTTTAATCCAAATTAATTATAAATATTAATTCTGAAAGCATGTTTAAATATTTATAAAGAGTTTAGACTTTACCAAAAATAATTGCTAAACATATTAAATCAAAACGAACAACATAAGCAAGCATAGTTCCGTAATATTGCTTCATAGGGCTAAGGCACAAATTATATCAAATCAAATCTCACTATGTACATCTCACGGAAATTATCAAAAATCTTCCAAATATTGATATATTGTGTGCATTGACCGTGTACATTGTAAATTAGTATGGAATTGACAGGTTAATAAAACCAAACAATAATGGGTTATGAATAATCGTAGAGATGTTCCAATTGGAACTGGAAGCGGTGCATGAAATACCAAATGACACCTTTAAAATGAAAAATGTAAAGTAAAAATGATCATTCTTTTTCTTTTGACTCCCTCGTACATACAAACATAGGCTTTGCCTACTTGCATAATAATGCATAATTATAATCCAAAACTTTAATGCCGCAACAGATGAAAGAAAAAAAAAAACGTTACAAGGCAGCACATAAAGTTTTGGAATCCAGTAATAAGTATTAGGAAATCATAAGTTCTGGCCTCCAGAACTTTATAAGCCGCTTTTAACATTTTTGTTTTTCATCTGATGTGGCATACAAGTTTTGGATTAGACCTGTTATGAAACCTAACCAGAATAACATATGTTGATTTAACCTTATTTTTCATTTGCATATAGACCCTTGTCCCAATCAATTGTGCATTTTGCGATAAAACAACTATTTTAATATTGTTCTTTACCATGTTCTCGCAATTAACCTGTAATGGTAAGGGCTGTCATTGATGGCAAATTTTGTATCAATATATCGAAAGCCAAATGTCAATGATATATTGATATATCCATTTACATTAACAAGAACAGTGGAAAACAAGGGGAGCAGTGGCCTTGTGGTTAAAGTGTCTGCCTCTCAACCCTGATTGATTGGAGCTCTACTGGGGTCATAACCATGTTTCTTCATATGACATCAGTACTGGTTGGTTCCAGAAAGCTGACTTGAAAGTGATTAATAGAAGTTGCAAGAACTTGTTTTGCAATCAAGCTTAAAATAAATTTGTTTCAACAAAATACAGTGGAATATATATATTTGAGTTTGTTTATAATTTGTCAACATGATGCTAGACCTGTGTGCTTATATAAGACATCAAAAGCATAGCAAACTAAACAAAATTGTTTTATAGTTTTTATATCTTTTATACTTCCCAAATTCAACTGTTACTAAGGTGTCTATTAAATATTGGATAAGAGAATTTCAGAAAGAAATGACTTTTCTTCTGAAACAAAATAGAACTGAGCATATTAATTCAAAAGAATGGGAGAAAAATATATAACAAGAGCCATGTCAACATGGCCATCTCTCGCCGAATGTGTTTGCTCATTGGAAGAATATATATGTAGTAGAGCAGAATAATTCAATTTTAAGAGGTCTTTTGGTAATGAAAACTGTTGGCTGAAGTGATTACAGATTTGAAACCTATGTGAATACTGATGGCTGAAAATAACAAAGGGCAATAACTGAAAAATAATGCAGGGTAAGTTATCATTCTTGTGTGCTGCACTCCTCCTCAATGAGATCTATCCATCTATGAAGTTTCAAGTTGATACCTCAAATACTTTTTGGGATAAGCTCCGGACAAAATAGTATGATAAAGAACAAAGGGCAATAACTCAAAAATTGTATAGGGAAGAGTTATCATTCTTGTGCACAGCATTCCTCCTCAATAAGATCTATCCACCTGTGACATTTCATGTTGACATCTCAAACACTTTCAGAGATCTGCCGAGGACGTGATTTTGCGCCATTGGCGCTAAAAAAATGAGAATGGCGCAGGAAAATCGGCAGCAAAGGGCCATGGGCACATCTAAAATCTGTGCCAGACTTATAAGAAAACAAAACTGTCTGCTGGGTTATTTAGTCATCCAGTCAAAACTGGTACCAACAGCAACATGTTACCCATGCTCCTGTAATTACGCATATTCTTGTGTTTATCCATTCCCCTATAGCTTTTGTCCATGTTATCTACTTACCGCACTTCTCATAATCCCTTTCCCACACAGATACTCATTTCTACTACCGTAAATTTAATCCAATAAAACAAACAAACAAATTATACAACTACTTAATATTTAAAATGATTATCGGTAACTGAAAAAAAAGTGTTGCTATTTTAAGAAATGCTGTAAGTTACAGTATAATCTGACAGGTGTTCAACTTGATCAACCCTAAGGTCACTCAAGTTCACGCAAGTTTTGGCTGATGAAGTGTAAAAAAAAGATATATATTTCGTCATCAGAATGTTTGACAGGGTAATTAACCAATCAGAGAAACATTGTGCATGACTTTTTTCATGATCAAAAGGTCTGTCGGCAAATGTCTTTGATGTATGCTGTCTACACAGAGGCATACAAGGGGCAATAAAATTCGTCAATATACAGTGGTAAGGGACATTTGGTGCAAAGTAGGAACAATTAAATGGATAATACATTACAAGTAAGAACCAGCAATTATGCTGAATAAATTTGCATATCAAATTTTTGAGCAGCCAATTAAAAAAATATTTTCATTTTTGCCTGCAATTAATATTAAGTTAGAAAGTTACCATGTAGGCATAATTTTTAATTATTGGTAAAGTACTGAATTATAAGTGAACCACTTGTCATAAAATATGATTTAAGTTTTATTACTGGGGAAATTCAATTATCTACAAACTTTTTAACAGTTATTTTGGTCAATGTTTACTTATTTTCCCAAGGCCCATACTTTGGTAAAAATGGCCCATCATTTTCAGACCAAGTGGGCCCAGGGCCCAGTACTTTCAAATTCTTGGCAGATCTCTGCGCTTTTGAGTGTAGCTCCACTCAGGTGAAAAATTAAGTATGAAAAATAACAAAGGGCAATAACTCAAAAATTATACAGGGTAGAGTTATCATTTTGTGCACTGCACTCCTCCTCAATGAGATCCATCCACGTATGAAGTTTCAAGTTGATACCTCAAATACTTTTTGAGATATGCACCGGACAAAAATGTCGGACGGAAGGACGAACGGACGTTCAAACATTTTGGGTTTAGGGGCTATTTTCTTTGTTATTTTCTTAAGGGCTACTAGCCCATAAACCCTTTGATCACAGAATGAACCTATTGTTCTCTTTTGTTCTCTTTACTATTACATAGCCCCTAAACCGAAAATGTTTGCTCGGACGGACGGACGAAAGGTCGGACGGACGGAGACTGTCTATATCCCCCGCTGCCTTTTCGGCGAGGGATAATAAACTGATAAAAGTAATCATTACCAGCAATATATTATTATGGGCCGAGTTGACCCGTGCCGAGTTGGAATGCGGCCAAGCTGACTCGAGGGCCGAGTACGTTTTAGGGCCGAGCTGACCCTGATTCCGGCTAGCCACTTTCAATATGGTTATATGTTTTTCTATCATAATGTCTTGCTACCAAAACAGTAAAATGTATCATTAGAACGAATAATAAACATAACTCTAAGAAAATCGTTTACTGTAAATACCTCTGTGGCTATGCGCAAGATGATCTGACCATTTGACAGTTTCCGTTGGTCCTTTCACATCGAGTTCACCGTGACTGTGAGGATCCATCGGGATATACAATCCACTTCCCGATGATGTAAACCGGTTTGTTACAGCCGGTAACTGAGAATTATTTACAGATGAGAAGGCAAAGAAATATGTAAATGCAAAACCAAAGACTATTCCAACACAAAAAGTAAATATTGCAGACTTTGACAGCACAAAACCTCCGTTGGCTGCCATGTTGTTAAAAAATAGCGAAATGTGTTTTTTTTACAGGAGAGTACTCAGATTGAAAAATGCAACTCCGTCAAACTTCGAATACAATCTCAACGCAGTGATCCCCCCTTCATACTTCGTACGAATGATTACAATGAGTTCGAATAATAATAATACAGTAGAATCCTTACCTGGACCATCCCGGATTTAGGACCATCCCTCTATTAAGACCAATTTTAACGGAATTTTCTGTTTCTGTTAATGGTATCATGATCCACAATTAAGACAACCCACTTATAACCGCTTTTAAGACCAGCAGTTTTAGACCCAATTCATTGTGTTATTCTTTATCTAATCCCACTATTGAGACCATCACAAGTTTGTTATTATTCTATCTGCTTGAATGCTTTTAAGCGTGACACTTGATGTAACAATGTGTTAATCTGTAATGATGGGCAAATTGTATGGAGTTAAGTTAGGTAAGGAAGTAGTTTAAGGTTACTTTCTGCACACTTATTTTGTGAAGAAATAATATCTTATGGTGATGATTTTCTTTAGACCGGGCGGTCAAGGATAGCCTACGAAAGACTTAATTAGTGCATGCAGTTATTTCCTGCAGGGTCTATGAGATACAAGGGAATCCGGGAACCAGTCCCGGTCTTGAATAGATCCCTTGGTTTTTTACATGCTCAGTGTATAGCACTGATCAATACATGCGAGGATTACGTGGGTTTCGTACAGTATACCTCTAGGCAAGTGGGAAACACTGATAGTGTTCTGAAAAATCCAAAGGGTGTTACCAAGGATCGAACCCGAAATCTCAAGAGTGACAGGCAGTGGTCTAACCAACTGAGCTATCGCGCCACCTTTATTTAATAGGTGAATTATATACATGTTTGAAACAATACCTATGAAAATTTAACATAATATGAAATGTCTTCAGAAATTTTGATTATTGTTGAGAAGAGTATTAGCCTGCAAGAAGTTGGACATTAAATGTATTTGGAATATTATAGATATATTTTCTGAAATGTGTCCAGGAGTAAACTGTACTCAGTAAAGTCAGAGCTAATACATGTAGTAGCATGACCGAGCACGAACAACTTGATTAAAAAAAATACAGAAATATTATTGTCGGCGGAAATCTCACTATTTAGAAAAGCTTTCGATTTCTTGATAAATTTAAGATAAACATGTAATACAATCACAATAATTTAAACGGTAGCGTTTACGTGTTATATAGTGCATTCAAATACTAGTATCTCTCTATTTTTCAAGTATGCAATATCGTTTATGCATTTTTTCTCTTACATGAGTTTGTGTATACGTATTTGTGGCAGCATTTATTTGGAATATTTGCATTATTTGAATAATGACCATGAGAAAATATTATTTTTAGCTACATATACCAATAGAATTTGTGTGTTGTACGGTCTCAGGTTAATGTTGCATACTATTTGAGCCGCGTCACGACAAAACCAACATAGTGCGTTTGCGACCAGCATGGATCCAGACCAGCCTGCGCATCCGCGCAGTCTGATCAGGATTCATGCTGTTCGCTGTCAGTTTCTCCACTTGTAATAGTGTTGGTAAGCGAACAGCATGGATCCTGATCAGACCGCGCGGATGCGCAGGCTGGTCTGGATCCATGCTGGTCGCAAACCCACTATGTTGGTTTTGTCGTGACGCGGCTCATTTTTCAATTAAGCGTTATCCGATCGTTTATTGGTTTTTGTTGTTGATGATGTTTGTTGTTGTTTTTTTTTGCCAATTATACAAGTTTTGTATATTGGTTGGCATCATCTACTTGGGGTATTTGCATTATCGGTAAAATATCATTAGAATAAATTACTTAAGCTACATATACGTATTGACTTTGTGAATTGTGCAAGTTTCGAAGTTTGTCTCAGGTTAATGTTGCCAATTAATAGTACATTGTAATATGTGCATTTATGAAAATGTGTTATTTCTGAACAAGTATATTTTTGCTCTATCTTTTGCTGGCCTCATGCTGACTAAGGAAAGATCAGGATCAAATGATCTTGATTTTGTTTTCATCGTTTGATAGCATTTCGGTAAAATTCAATAGTACATACACAAAATGTAAAGCATTGCTGATCTGCAAAGAAACAACGTTATTTTGGGATAAATCCGACAAATAACAAAACAAATGCTAAAAGGATCACAATAAGGATCAATTTTAGGATCAAGATAAATATTTGAACCAATGTTAAATGCATTTTTAAAATAACAATACATTTATTTTAAAGTTCATAAAACTGCAAATTCGAGTCATGCTTAATATTGAATATCTTATGTTTGAAGATTGACAATGGAGAACATTTGAGCTTTTAAATTTGATCCTGATTTTGATCCTGATTCTTAAACCTTAGTAAATACGGGGCCTGATGATTGTCAAGAATTATTAGATAGCCATACTTTTGCACCTTAAATTAAACATTTCCCTTTTAAGTCAAAACACAAAAACTGCAAACATATGACTTTTGTCAAATATACAGTTTTATTTTTCATGGTATAATGGTATAACTTTGTATACGCTTGCTTGAATTACACGTGACGTTTTGTCTATATATAAGCATTCTATGAAATAGCATGTTCTCATATTGACGGAAGCGACACTGCTGTGAAGTGATATATACCAGGTAAATAAATTAAATAATGTTTGAGACATTTTGAAGACTCAATATTTCATATAATTAAATAATAACGTTATTTTTAAGGCTTGTTTTAAAGTTCAGTTTTAGAAGGACCATTAAAAATGTCTGGAGAGAATATTATTGCTTTGCAATATCCGATAAAGTATTAGCATAAATAAAATATATAGTAAAACTTTCAGTAGAGTTTACAACTTCGTGATGTGACAACACTTTTTGAGGTAAAATTGATATAACATATATTGCGTGATTTTCGTTTACATTACTTAGTTTTATTTAATTATGTTTATACCTATCAAAGGCCCATTATACCCCTGAAATGTTTTTTATTTCTATTTTGTAATTGATTATTACCTTTGATATACTTTAATAGTTTCCAAAGAGTTATTCATTAACCAATAACCTGACCCTTCTTCTGTTGCTTTTTGACAATTAGTACAGTTATAGTGATTTAGTATTTTTATTGAAGTCAAAATGCTACTCTGTTTATATTTTGCTATTTTTATGACAAATTATTTCATATCTAGCAATTCTTTCATCTAATGTGCTCTAAAACCATTATTTTAATTATTTTATATTTTTTATTTTAATATTAATTTCTATTAACATTGATTCAAATATTTATCTTGATCCTAAAATTGATCCTTATTGTGATCCTTTTATGTGGCGGCATTGCCGAGTGGTTAACGCTTCGGACTAGTAATCTATTGATCGCTAGCCGTATGGGTTCAAACCCCGTCATGGGGCAAGTCGTTGTTTCCTTGAGCAAGAAACTTTACACTCATTGCTCAGTACCGGTTGGTTCCAGGAACGGATTCGAAAGTGTGTCTATAAGCTTATAACTTCCTACACAATCCAACTAAAATAAAAATTCTGCATATAAACCAATTTCTATAAAACTTTAATTTATTGAAAATAAATGTAATAATGATATATTCGTTTCTGAGGAATAATGATGATATCTTCTCAGTTTTGACGAAGTTGAATTTTTTTCTCTTCTTATTAAAGGTGAAAAAAATAGTTGAGATTATGGTGCTCAGTGACTATATATAAGGTTTAAAGTCTTAATTTATTTCGTTGAATTTTAATAAATTAGTGTAATTTTTTATGTTGATATTGTAGATTCCTTAAAATGGCGGTGTTTGTTTGGCTTGTAATATTCTTTTCTTTCCTGTCAATTTCAAATGCAAATACATCGAAAGCTTGCTGGGCCGGCTTGCAAAAACAAGAATGTGTGTAAGTAAGAAATAAAGCAGTGGTATGAACAAAATAAAGTATTAGAATAACTTTAACGCTCTCTTTCTTAAGTATTTGTTTGTAGTACTGTAATGGTATTTTGTGCAAACAAGTATGAAATATTCATCATTTCATTATATAAAACCATAAACTTAATATTTTGAATTAGAATACGAAAAACGGCCTGTTCATGGACGGTACTGGAAATTTGTATAGCAGATGTGTCCATACAGCGGTTATCAAGTCAAATTATAAAGTTGCCAATTCTTCTGTCCTCATTATACATGGACGTAATCATATCTTTTATACATCTTTAAAACACATTCCGAAAAATAAACATTTTTCATGATAAAAAAGATATTATTCTCTTTAAAGGTATGTATTACATCATTATTCTCTCTTCTTAGGTATGACACAGTCTTGCAAGGGCGAGAGGGACTAATGATAAGCTACTTTTTAAGCATTCCATTTTCTCGGATTTGCTGTGAAGCCCTAAGTTGTACCCTGGAGACAGGGAGGTGTGAGTTCCAATATGCCGGATGCCATGATAATAGCACAGCTAATATCCAGACTCGTCCAAGACTTTGGGAGCTCCAAAACATACCTACAATGATGCGGTGTACCGATGTGCAAGGCAAGGGTGCATTTTATTGGTTTTGGGCCCAGATTGTGCAGGACGAAACCCTTATGTGATTAAGAAACAATCATTAAAAGACGTTTTGATTTTCGAACAAAATGTTATGAAGTTAACAATAAAATGCATTTAAGATGAATGTGACGACAGATAAAACGTATGAATATTCATTAACTAAAACAAACGCTTACCTAATATAAAATTTCACATTTGCTCCGTTTCTTTTTAGATATGTTTACAATCGAATATTTATTAATTAAAATCATACCGACTTTTTAACAATTTCAATTTGATCGTGTCGGACGATCTCCGAGGTGTAATATTTCCTCCATATTTATAAGATCAACCAACTGGGTAAAACAATCATCACACCATTTGTTTCTTTATATGTGTATGAAACGAGTCAGCACTAGCTGGGGCAACTTCGTGAGATGTTTATGTCAAGGCCGTCGGGGCGTGACGAGGTTTTGTTTTTGCAGAAACATCCCGAGATGTCGCCCAGCCAATGTTATCTCGCGTAACTAACGAGTTATATATATTATAACTGTTTTATCGTAATTTCATAATTTTTAACAGAAATCAGCAAAAATTACTATGTTCAGTGATTTTCCTTTTCTTGTGCCCTTTCTCGTTTGTTTCAAATCTAATCCCTTGCAAAAATAAATCAATACCAGCTAATAAATGTTGTTTTTTTTGTGCTACTAGGGATATGTGATACCTCTATCCCATTTAAACTCTGTAAAAAACTACACTGATATATAACAGGTGCACAAAGACTCAACTGTTACATATAATACACGAAAAAAACAGCACTGTTATATATCAATTATACAGTTTCGAAATCTTTATTGAAAATGAACTGAATAGCATGGGTTAGTAAGAACAAAGAAAAAAATCCTAACCATGCAATTAAAGCCTTTTACTCCGTGTTTTAAAGATTTTCTTGGTTCTTTCTAGCCCATTGTATTCCCCTGATATCAGAAACATCCCTCGATGTCTCCCCAGCAAGTGTTATACCCTTGTATGTAGCTCGTTTCATATTCTATAACTATTTCATATCTTTATAATAAATTCAATAATTGTATGCCAAGATTTGTATGCATTATTGGAACTTTTTTCTCTAATTTACTATACATAAAAAATCACAGGTACAACATACACGGAATCTGAAAAACGTGAAAAGCAGTGATGGCATAAACATTTATTTCTTGTATATATTTGATTTGCTCATGTTTTTGTAAATCAAACTAACTGAGTGTTATTGTAAATAAAAACGTCAGTTTGATTGAGCCTATCCATGATTTCAAAGGCCACATATATCAGACCCGTAACCATCAGCGCCAGAAATAATTATATGTTTTTATACATTTAACTGTACAATACGGGAATATATTTGGACCAGTACACACCTTGAAAAGTCATATTGGACATCCTATATGACTTTTCAAGCTGTGCACGAGTTCAAATATTTTCCGTATTTTACAGTAACATGTATAATAACCTTTTCATTATATATCTTTCGTTTAATTTGAAATATCATCATCACCCCCCAACAAAACCACCGAAAATCAATATCCACACCCCTGTTGAAATTGTTTTAGACGAAAAGGTAATATTTCATGAATGGTTTTGTTGTATGCATACATAAGTTTTATGATTTGATTGATACAACGAATACTTTGGTGACATTATTTTTTTTAATGAAAATAACAGTTAACATTGTCTAAACAAATTATACATAGTAAAATCTTACATTTATCGGAAACCAGACCAGCATCGTTTAATGCACATATACCTTACCGTCCAATATGAAAATAATATATTTTGGATCCAATTCGGGAATATATTGGACGGCCATGAGTTACAAATGCAGATTGTCGATTGCTTAGATTTATTAGATCTTTAACTCAATAGAATAGATACAAAGGTATTGAATATTTTTCCGGGGGAACAGAAAGTAAAAAGAAAAAAAAAGAAACTTAATGAACTGTTCTGTATCATTTAATTTTGCAGCTCTCTGTAGTAACATTTAACTGTTTAGCTATAATTCTTTGTATACGCCATTCCCTTGTAAGAAAATAAACATTCAAACATATTTCTTTCATGCAGTTTTTGAATTAATACAATAATTTTATAAATTTATTATTCTAATTCAAACAAATCCGTTTTATGTTGTGGGTGGCCATTAAAGGCAAGGAAAGAAAGCATTAATAAATGCATAATGAGAACGCGCTTGACTTTAATTAAAAAAACACAAGAAACTATTTTATGGTTTTCAGATAATAAGAAATTTTACATTGTAAAACCCTTTTGATAAATAACATGTGTAACGTACAAGTTTCATTTTTTATCAATTTAGGAAGGTTTTAATCCCTTACATTCCAGCAATCAAACAAAGAAGCGAATTATTAAATTATCAAACGAGATGATGGACGGACAAAAGAAAACACAAACAAACAAACAAACAAACAAACAGGCAAGCAAGAAATCATGCCGCGCGATTAAAAGTTTCCTTGAAATAACAATTGTTTGTATGATCTAATACAAAGTAACACATGGTTTTCAATGGCGTGTTTTAAAATATCGTGTAATTACATCTATTGAATTTGATAGTTGGTATATCTTGAATATCTGTCAAAGTATGCGTTTTAACGGTGGTTATCTCATAAAAGTTTTTTTAAACTCACATTTAACAGCACTAGTCACAGATATCAGCAAATGATACTGTTAGATCTTATTATCATTATATCCGACATTTATTGTTACTTTTTTTTACAGCTGAAGGAACTGCAAATGCTACGATGTTAATGATAGAGAAATATGAACAAAATCTCTCTTTTTCAGAGAAACCGATATACAAATGGAGGGGGTCTTTACTCTGAGCATAATAATTTAAAATGACAATCATTTGATATTTGTAAACCATTGTCAAACGACAACCTGTTACTCTAATAACTCAATTTATTTTTCATCTTCCAGACAAAGACAGCATATGCTTGAATTTTGTCACAGTATATTTTATAGTAAACTGTTACGGTTTTAAAGTCCTACATGTATTTTTAAAGTAAGGATTGCACTTTCTTGAGATAAAGTATTTGTACATTCAATATAGTCACTTTTCATTTGAAACCTCACTGTGACACATTTTCAAAGTTAACAATGGTATACAATACTGCTTGGCCATCTTTTGCAATAATCAATTATATTGAAATATGTGTGATCCGAATTATATGCTTTGTCCAAACATGAATTGTACAAGTAATGCTCACTGTATTGCAGAATTTTAATCCATATTTTTTCCATTATCAGTAATATAATAATATTATTTACACCTAGACAACACAATTTATAACACTGTGATTTATTTTGTATCTGTTTAAATTCACAATTGTGTGTACAATCATACAAAACGAGTTGAATATGGCGGCCATATTGACTTGTTCTACGGTAAAAGAATATTGATGTCATCTTGATATAATTGCTTATACTTAAGTTCGTGTTACAAATTGAATTAAAAATAAATTGATTATTAACGTATATGTTTGCATTTCATATGGAATACTATAATGGATGATTGTTTTTTGTATTTGAAAGTGACGAATTCTTAGGAACAATTTAGGGCACTTGTGCGTAAGAAAGTTGGCAAATGTTGGCAACTATTATTTCTATATGTCAAGACTTTTTTTGATATATTGATTATTCAATGATTATCGCTCATTATTTAGGAACCTCTTGTTATGTTTAACACGTATAACATTGTATGTATGTCGAGTGAATGATGTTTATTCCTTTGAAAACATATAGAAACTTTTTGTGCATTTTTTATGTTTGCAAGTTCTAATTGGCTGTCGCTATGTTTGCCAACATCTGAGAGGTATATATTGGCGGCTGTAACTGAAAATGGCACCAGTTGTAAGCTTCCAAAATTACTTCCTTAGTAACCAAGGCGCTGGGGGATATTTTCAAAGAAACATCTCATTTATCCTTACTATTCAGTAAGCTACTCACAAAACATGCTGTCCCTGAAGAAAACAACAATCTTTTAAGTGTTTTAGTCCCGCTTATTTAAACAAAAAACTAAATAATTTTATTTCTTTACCTAAGCTGATTTTTGTTTTCATAGCAACCTCGTAATCAAGCTTTCAGCACCAACACTATGCAACTGGTGGTCCGTTTCCGTTACAATCGCGGGTCTTAGTTACTGTAGATGAATTAAGTTGTTACATAATTTATTATAATATTTGATGATGATAAATTAAATTTGTTATCTTCATCAATACAGAAGAGAAAACGTTAATGATGTTTCTGATTACTATTAGTTTTCACACTAGATAAAAACCTTAAAAGTCAGCTTGTATGCTTGATGGCTTACATTATGTTGAAATAACTGCTATGAAATCAGTCCCAAGTATTTAATAAAACTTTTACTTTTGATAAATTACAAACTAATTTTGTATGAAAGAACTTTTAGATTTTTTAATCAAGAAATATGACATAAAAAAGAAATGTAGCAACAAAAAGTAGTAGACCTTGCTGTATTGTCATTGAATATAAGTCTGTTTCTATTTTAGATCAGATTCAGCTAGTAAATATGATACTACACCCAGTTAATATGATTTTTTAATTTGTGCTGCTGACTACTGTTTGGACCAATGAGATTGCACCTATCTTTAGATCTTATAATAAACTTTAAAATTGTATACGGTTACTTTATAATCGGAAGAGTATTAAGGGCTCACTACTTTTGAAATATTAATAAAACGTAAAACTATTATTTTACATCTTAAAACAGAATGATGAAACAACAGTGTCAGAGTTACAGAAATCTATCTAGAACATTTATTAATGTATTTTTCGCCTATGTCTATCGAAAACACAATAATAACTTTATTTTGAAATGTATACCTCACTGAAAATTAAGTTTTAACTATACAAGTGAAATTGAGAAAAATGTTTTAACCTGAATTTGTATATAGCAAAAGTAGTAGTAAACAACAAAAAGTCAGTCATACTTCGTGCTTTGCTATGACAATACAACCATATTAAATAAAGCAGTGTCAAAACAATGCAGTATCACATTCATTTTCTAAAAGTGCTGATACATATGTTTGAGAACAGTGCACAAATCATCATATTTGATGGTTGCAATTGTCTTTATGAAATTTAATGTGATGATAAATGTCACTTCATCTAAATATTTAGAACACAGGCACAGATCTAGCAATAAATATGTATGGTTTGCTGTTATTTAATTATACTATATATATACATTCTCATTTTGACTAAATTTGCATCAGTGCACCAAAATTACAACAATATTTATTAGAGCTGCAGTGAAACATTTCATAGTCACATTTAATTTTTTTCTAAAAGTACAAATACATATGTTTGACAATAATGAATAAATTATCATAATTTATTTCACGAGTGCCTTTATAGAATAAAATGTGATAATAGATGTCACTTTATCTTAAAACTAAGTAAACGATATAAATCACTCGTGTACAGACAATTACAAATGAAGCTTACTAGTACTTTAGATTGTGATGCGTGATAATTCTAGAAAAAGTAAACACTACATTCAAGTTTTACCTGACATTATGTTAGTTTAAATAATTTTAAATGCTAATATACCGGGTTGATATATGCACAACTTAATGTTTCTGTCAGCACATCAATTTTAGTAACTTTAAATGCTAAATTGTCACTTTCAACATTCAATTCAATATATAACAGTACAGGACAGAACTTTGATTTTGATTTTGTACATAGTACATCATCGTATACAACATATAATTTCGGAGTAAAAAAATACATTTCAGTGCGAACAATCAATGCAATAATATAAAAGGAAAAAACATTTATGCTAGTATTCAAACATATTACGTTATTAAGCCTTAAACTATAAATTGATTTTGTTTTTTTCCCTTGAAAGTAAATGGATTCTATTCTTTTTCTATATAATTTTATGAAAATGTAGATACAGCAATAAATATGTATGAATATGTGTTCCAGTATCTCAATAAAATGGTAGATAATGGTTCACCTGAAGAAATTAAATTATGTCTCGAAATTTCAAATTAGAAATGCAAAAAAGTTATTTCAAGGATATTGGGGATAAAATACAGATTTTTACAATGCTTAAAATAAAATGAATACGTATTCATAAATATCCCATAATAAATAAATAAATAAATAAATAAATAAATAAATAAATAAATAAATAAACAATAACAGCAACAGCTAGTATCTCCCCGTCCACGATCACCACAGGCATCATAACTTAATTCTCGACTCTGTTTTAAAATGTGTATTTTTAATATGCCTTTTGTATCAAATCTTGATTGCGGTCATACGAAAACCTAACATTGTCCTTTTATAATCTGTCAAAATGATGGGACATGTTATATAAAAGTAAAACCCATAAAGTTTGTACTTTCTGTATTTTTGTTCTTCTGCAATGTACACAATACTTAGCAAGAATGTCATTAAAATTTAATGAAGTTTGACAGAATTAACATTAGTTCTACCACCAATGAACATGCCGAATGATACCTTCAGCGAAATCCAAAAATACATGTTTTATAATGGGGCGTTTCAAAGGAAACAAAAACACAAACACAAGAATGTAAGACAAGTATCATAAGCATTTATAATACTTTGTAAACACATCAAGTCGATTTTAAATCATAGTACCGCATCATAAAAGGGTTCTTCCTGCACAATTTGAGTCCAAAACCAATAAAATGCACCATTGCCTTGCACATCGCTGCAACGCATCATTGTAGGTATGTTTTGGAGTCCCCAAAGTCTTGGTCGAGTTTGGATGTTAACTGTGCTGTTATCATGACATCCAGCGTATTTAAATTCACACCTTCTTGTCTTCAGGGTACAACTTAGGGCTTCGCAACAAATCCGAGAAAATGGAATTGATAGATAGTAGCTTATCATCATTCCTTCTCGCCCTTGTAAGACTGTGTCATACCTGATAATAATAGATACAACACTTGTCTTACATCTCACATAGATGTATGTTTTCTTTCATAAAAAATGTACAGTTGATAGATTGATTCAGGCATTTGTTGTGTATATGTTATCAATAATAGGTTATTTTAAGAAATAATTTTGAAATATTGAGAATTTTGTAATTCTAGATGCTTTTCAATATTACAACATTGTTTGCACTTCAAAACATATTATCATATAGCTTCCAAATTTCATCGAAATTAAATATTAAGATAAATATGATTTAAATATTTCATCCTTGTAAGGACAAAACTGAATTACTGAACAAATAGTATTCAATTAGTTTCTATTATTTTCTACAAATTTGTTAAGACTATTGCATTATTTTTATCTTACAGACATTCTTGTTTTTGAGAGCCGGCCCAGCAAGCTTTTGATGCCATTGCATTTGAAAGTGACAGGAAAGAACAAAATATGACAACCCAAATCAACATGTTCATTTGAGGAATCTGCAATAACAATTCTAAATATTACATATATCAATTTAAATTCGAACGAAGTAAATTGAAACTTCTAGTTCTAAGTAAAATCATTGTAAACGACATTTTTTCACCTATTTTTTGTGTACTCTGAATAAATAGCAAACAGTGCACACCAAGATTAGACGGTAAGAATGTGGCAGCACTGGTTTTATGGATACTATCTGTTTGTGTCAATGTTAACAATCCTTCAATCATAGACAGTATCTGATTAAATATGTTAGGTAATTCACGTTTTAAGATATTTTAAGACTGGATGCTAAAAATTGGAAAAAATATTATTATTATTTATTTTCCCGATTACAATACTTTATAAGGTAGAGCAAGGGTATTACGCACTTTACTCTCTAGAACTACTAGACTTAAACATTATCGTTATATTTCAATTGAATGATAATTTAACCAAATAAATTCATTTTACTTACTTACCTGGTATATATCACTTCATAGCAATTTTCTTTCCGTTATGAATTTAAAGTACAGAGAAAAATGTTCAAATAAAACACGCTGTTGATAGATAGGCGTACCGCCATGGCGGGCAAGTAATATTTTACAATTGTAATTCATGCGCGTACAAAGTTATACGATGAAAATTAAACAACGGATACAATAAATAACAACCATTTGTTTGTAGTTATTGTTTGGCAATATTGATCTGAAACATTTGACAATTCAGTAAACTTTTATCGGCAATTTTCATAGCATAGATATTTGAATTATTTTGCTAGTCAAAGTGTAAAGAATTTAACTATACATCTTAACTAATTATTTAGTTCGGTTAACGTAATAAAATATTTTTATTTTATAAAAGTATTTGACGGTTTTGTTTTATAATGTACAGTGTCAGTGTAAACAATTGAACCTCATAGTAGATATTTATTTTAACTTTAAACCAAACAATTATCAGAGAAAAATCGTCTTTCTTATCTAGTAAGAAAACTGCACGTGATGTGACCCGATTCAATTCTCAAGTTCCGGAACAGTTTAAGAGCATCAGTCGTATATACAATCATAAACATAGCATGTGAAATATCACAAAAAGAGTCCCACAAAATATTCTTATGTACTAGAAGGCACATAAAATAAAAACGAAAGTGTTACATTATGACAATAAGCTTAGCTATCAGTATTTTAATGTTAATGTAATCTTTTTACAGAATACTGCAAGTTTTAACAGTTTTAACTCCTGTCTGTGCTAAATATTAACATAGAAAACTTGATTGAATTGACAAAAGTACTATATTTTCTAGTAATAATATTTTTTTCTATCAGTTTTAAAGAACTGACAGTTAAATAATTACATTTTGTAAAAATGATATTCATTTCCAAGTGAGCTAGTATTACATAAGTTACACCCTCTTAATTCTCTTGGTATATTACAAAATCTACAAGACTCAACAGGCAATTTATGATTCATACAATACTGTAGATAAATAAATGAAATGGTAAAATATCTAAACACTTTTTAAATCTATATCCACTTTGTACATTCTGTAATTCAGATATTTACTGGATTCTGGCATTTCACAATGCCAATTTTGAATGAACTGATATTAAAGTCTATTTTTTAACAAGTTTCTTAAACAAGGAAGAGGTGACCACATCATTATCCAATAGTTAAAAAAAATTCAATAATTTGATAAACCCAGTGAATCTTGTAATTAACAAACACTATTCATCCATGGGAGTTTCAATACATTTCTACAATACAAAGTGTGTGACATATCATAGTTACAAGATATGGCAACTTGATTCTTGTTTGCTCCTTAAAATCATATTCCAAAAGCACAAAAACCATACTCTATAAATAAAGCATATATGCCTAAATCTCCGTAAAGCATACAATTTTCAGTACTTTGTTTCAGATTTAATAGGAACTTATAAAATGTTAATTGAAATCTATCTATAATATTCACATATTCAATTCCCCACACTTCGCTACCATATAACAATATAGGTGCTACCATGTTACAGGTATCAAATAAGTGGATTTAGATCTAACTTTCTAGCCTTAAGTATAATCGAAAACATAGCCATCCTTGCCTGTTCCAATAAATCATTCTTTGTTTTAGCACATTTACCATCATAAGAGAATTTAACACCCAGATATGAAAAATCATCAACAATTTCTCTAACGCATTACCTTCAAAACTAAAAGCTGGGATATTCATAAATCTTTTACAAAAAAAATTAAAAAATTTTTGGTCTTGCTAGGATTTACCTATATATGCAATAAATGAAATAATTTGACATTGCATCTAGTGCCTTTTGAAGTTCTTCAGCAGATTCAGCAAATATAACTGTGTCGTCAGCATATAAAATAATATACAATTTAAAATACATTTAAACATCAGAATCACTAAAGGTATCATTTACAATGTTTGATAGTAGAGCCAGACCATTAAAATGTTGTGACATAAAATAGTTTAAATGATTTAAAAATAAAGGAAACAATATAAGAGATAAATTGTCACCCTGACTTACACATGTAAGACTTGTAAAAACATTCTGACAAATAATTTTAACACAAGATTAAACTTGCAAATACATGTTATAAATGATTGTTATACATTTACCATCAACATTATTGCTAATTAATTTCTGCCAAAGTGCAGTTCTGTTGACACCATCAAAAGCCTTTCTATAATCAATAATATGCAATATAAACTAAATAATTTTATTTCTTTACAAAAGCTGAGTTTTTGTTTACATAGCAACCTCGTAATCAAGCTTTCAGCACCAACACTATGCAACTCGTGGTCCGTTTCCGTTACAATCACGCGTCTTAGTAGATGAATTGAGGTCTTACATAATCTATTTTTATATTTGATGATGATATAAATTAAATTTGTTATCTTCATCAATACAGAAGAGAAAACGTTAATGATGTTTCTGATTACTATTAGTTTTCACACTAGATAAAAACCTTAAAAGTCAGCTTGTATGCTTGATGGCTTACATTATGTTGAAATAACTGCTATGAAATCAGTCCCAAGTATTTAATAAAACTTTTACTTTTGATAAATTACAAACTGATTATGTATGAAAGACCTTTTAGATTTTTTATTCAAGAAATATGACATAAAAAAGAAATGTAACAATAAAAAGTAGTAGACCTTGCTGTATTGTCATTGAATATGAGTCTGATTCTATTTTAGATTAGATTCAGCTAGTAAATATGATACTACACCCAGTTAATATGATTTTCTAATTTGTGCTGTTGACTACTGTTTGGACCAATGAGATTGCACCTATCTTTAGATCATATAATAAACTATAATATTGTATACGGTTACTTTATAATCGGACGAGTATTAAGGGCTCACTACTTTTAAAATATTAATAAAACGTAAAACTATTATTTTACATCGTAAAACAGAAAAATCAGAATTACAGAAATCTATCTAGAACATTTATTTAATGTATTTTTCGCCTATGTCTATCGAAAACACAATCATAACTTTATTTTGAAATGTAAAACTACACCGAAAATTAAGTTTTATCTATACAAGTGAAATTGAGAAAAATGTTTTAACCTGAATTTGTATATAGCAAAAGTAGTAGTAGTTAAACAACAAAAAGTCAGTCATACTTCATGCTTTGCTATGACAATACAACCATATTAAATAAGGCAGTGTCAAACAATGCAGTATCACATTCATTTTCTAAAAGTGCTGATACATATGTTTGAGAACAGTGCACAAATCATCATATTTGATGGTTGCAATTGTCTTTATGAAATTTAATGTGATGATAAATGTCACTTCATCTAAATATTTAGAACACAGACATAGATCTAGGAATAAATATGTATGGTTTGCTGTTATTTAATTATATTACATTCTCATTTTGACTAAATTTGCATCAGTGCATCAAAATTACAACAATATTTATTAAAGCTGCATGAAACATTGCATTGTCATATTCATCTTTTTCTAAAAGTACAAATACATATATTTGACAACAAGGAATAAATTATCATAATTTATTTCACGATTGCAAGTGCCTTTATAGAATAAAATGTGATAATAGATGTCACTTTATCTTAAAACTAAGTAAACGATATAAATCACTCGTGTACAATGACAAATGAAGCTTGCTAGTACTTTAAATTGTCATGCGTGGTAATTCTAGAAAAAGTAAACACTACATTCTAGTTTTACCTGACATTACGGTAGTTTAAATAATTTTAAATGCTAATTTACCAGGTTGATATATGCACAACTTAATGTTTCTGTCAGTACATCAATTTTAGTAACTTTAAATGCTAAATTGTCACTTTCAACATTCAATTCAATATATAACAGAACAGTAGAGAACTTAGTTTTTGATTTTGTACATAGTACATCATCGTGTACAACATATAATTTCGGAGTAAAAAATACATTTCAGTGCGAACAATCAATGCAATAATATAAAAGAAAAAAAAAACATTTATGCTAGTATTCAAACATATTACATTATTAAGCCTTAAACTATAAATTGATTTTGATTTTTTCCCCTTGAAAGTAAATGTATACTATTCTTTTTCTATATAATTTTATGAAAATGTAGATACAGCAATAAATATGTATGAATATGTGTTCAAGTATCTCGATAAAATGATAGATAATGGTTCACCTGAAGAAATTAACAAATAAACAATAACAGCAACAGCTATTATCTCCCCGTCCACGATCACCCCAGGCATCATAACTTAATTCTCGACTCTGTTTTAAAATATGTATTGTTAAAATGCCTTTTGTATCAAATCTTGATTGCGGTCATACGAGAACCTAACATTGTCCTTTTAAAATCTGTCAAAATGAAGGGACATGTTATGTAAAGATGAAAGCCATATAGTTTGTACTTTCTGTATTTCTGTTCTTCTGCAATGTACACACTACTTTGCAAGAATGTCATTAAAGTTCAATGATGTTTGAAAGAAATAACATTAGTTCTACGCCGAAGAATACCTTCAGCGAAAACCAAAAATACATGTAATGGGGCGTGTCAAAGGAAACAAAAACATAAACACAAGAATGTAAGACAGGTATCATAAGCATTTATTATACTTTGTAAACACATCAAATCGATTTTAAATCATAGCTCCGCGTCATAAAAGGGTTCTTCCTGCACAATTTGAGACCAAAACCAATAAAATGCACCCTTGCCTTGCACATCGCTGCAACGCATCATTGTAGGTATGTTTTGGAGTTCCAAAAGTCTTGGTCGAGTCTGGATGTTAACTGTGCTGTTATCATGACATCGAGCGTATTTAAACTCACACCTTCTTGTCTCCAGGGTACAACGTAGGGCTTCGCAACAAATCCGAGAAAATGGAATTGATAGAAAGTAGCTTATCATCAGTCCTTCTCGCCCTTGTAAGACTGTGTCATACCTGATAATAATAGATACAACAATTGACTTACATCTCACATCGACGAACATGTTCTCTTTGATTAAAAATGTACATTTGTTAGATTGATTTAGGCATTTATTGTGTACATGTTAACAATACAAATAGGTCACTTTAAAATACAATATTGAAATATTGAGATTTTTGTAATTCTAGATGCTTTTAAATATTACAATATTGTTTGCACTTCAAAACATATTATCATATAGCTTCCAAATTTCATCGATTAGTTTTTGGCAATTCAATTTCGAAATAAAATATTAAGATAAATATAATTAAATATTTTATCCTTGTAAGGACAAAACTGAATTATTCAATTAGTTTCTATTATTTTCTACAAATTTGTTAAGACTATTGATTATTTTTATCTTACAGACATTCTTGTTTTTGAGAGCCGGCCCAGCAAGCTTTTGATGCCATTGCATTTGAAAGTGACAGGAAAGAACAAAATATGACAACCCAAATCAACATCTTCATTTGAGAAATCTGCAATAACAATTCTAAATGTTACATATATCAATTTAAATTCGACGAAGTAAATTGAAACTTCTAGTTCTAAGTAAAATCATTGTAAACGACATTTTTTCACCTATTTTTTGTGTACTCTGAATAAATAGCAAACAGTGCAGACCAAAATTAGACGGTAAGAATGTGGCAGCACTGGTTTTATGGATCATATCTGTTTGTGTCAGTAGTGTCAATGTTAACAATACTTCAATCATAGACAGTATCTGATTAAATATGTTAGGTAATTCACGTTTTAAGATATGTTAAGACTGGATGCTAAAAATTGGAAAAAATAGTGTAAGTATTATTATTTATTTTCCCGATTACAATACTTTATAAGGTAGAACAAGGGTATTACGCACTTTACTGCCTTTAACATTATCTGTATATTTCAGTTGAATGATAATTTAACCAAATAAATTCATTTTACTTACTTACCTGGTATATATCACTTCATAGCAATTTCCTTTCCGTTATGAATTTAAAGTACAGAGAAAAATGTTTAAATGAAACACGCTGTTGATAGATAGGCGTACCGCCATGGCGGGCAAGTAATATTTTACAATTGTTATTCATGCGCGTACAAAGTTATACGATGAAAATTAAACAACGGATACAATAAATAACAACAATTTGTTTGTAGTTATTGTTTTGCAATATTGATCTGAAACATTTGACAATTCAGTCAACTTTTATCGGCAATTTTCATAGCAAAGATATTTGGATTATTTTGCTAGTCAAAACTATACATCTTAACTAATTATTTAGTTCGGTTAAGCTAATAAAATATTTCTATTTTAAAAGTATTTGACGGTTTCGTTTTAAAATGTACATGCTAAACACACATTACAGTATTTTATAGAAATTAATGATGAATATTTTAATTTGGTTAGTGAATACATATACTTCCATCAAAAATGTCGCGTACAAAAAATACAAAAACATTGAAATCTAAAGAAAAGTCTAAAGTTGCTATCGATGAGAAATATTTTTGAGCTGAGAAAGGAATATGACAAACTGTAAACGCCACTGTAGTATGTATTGAAAAGGAACTGAGGGATTCAGAGATGCTTATTCCCCCCAGAGACGTAGAGATGGAGCATATAACGAAATAGAAGGCTTCAACGAGATAGTTGTTTGTAACAAGGTACGGGAGTTTTACAGTTGTCTGACCGGTTCCGGTGCGGGTTTACTTCTTTTTCTGTCTTTATACAAATTAAAATATTGTCAGTGTAAACAATTGAACCTGATAGTAGATATTTATTTTAACTTTAAACCAAACAATTATCAGAAAAATCGTCTTTCTTCTCTAGTAAGAAAACTGCACGATGTGACCCGATTCAATTCTAAAGTTCCGGAACAGTTTAAGAGCATCAGTCCTATATACAATCATAAGCATAGCATGTGAAATATCACAAAAAGAGTCCAACAAAATATTCTTATGTGCTGGAAGGCACATAAAATAAACACGAAAGTGCTACATTATGACAATAAGCTTAGCTATCAGTATTTTAAAGTTAATGTAATCTTTTTACAGAATACTGCAAGTTTTAACAGTATACTCCTGTCCGTGCTAAATATTAACATAGAAAACTTAATTGAATAGACAAAAGTACTATATATTCAAGTAATATATTTTCTTCTATCATTTTACCCTTGTTTTTACATATTGTTAAAATAATCCCTTTCCTCTCAACTAAAGGAAAAACATCCAGAAACTTAAAGAATTTTAAACAGATAACAAAACACATCAAACATGCTTTCGGGTACATTTTTCAAATATTCATTCAATATATGAATGAAAAGAGGATGATGGTTTATTAAGTTTTAGTGAAGTAATAGGTTCACGTATTTCTCTAATACAGTAAATGGTTTATCCAAATCAGACTTATTTGACGAGACATTAGCTGTATCAAAGTCATTAATGTCATACTGAGTGTCAACCTCATTCAATTTACTAAATGTTCAAAACAAGAGCACCACATAGGTGTGGCAATATACGCCCGAATGCAAATATGTTTTAAGTAAACACAATTTAAAGTTATTAAAAATAATGTTTAAACAGAGATGATACCCATTTATAACATTTGTCAAAAACATGTTTGTTTCAATCATCAATATTAAAATTTATATTGATACATGCCAAAGAGCTATATTTTTTGTCACATGAATACTTAGTGAAAATTGTACTCTCTGAATGAGTGATGTCCCTTTAAATGTGTGTGTTTTTTGTCTCTCAGTGAAAAAGTTGGATTTATTTGTGTATTATTTGGACTTCTTGAAAAGAAAATTGAGGAGGATATTAAACAATTGTCGGTAAACCATTTTAGTCTTTTGCTGATTTCAAAAAAAGATGAAAATGACTTTGTAACATAGTTATTTTACAAGTATGGATCCATAATTTACACACAAATGTAGACAGAGAGCAATATTGAATTATATATAAGCAGATATAAAATGAGATAACACTGTATAGCGTTGACCTGTGAACAAAGGCACAATAGATGTTATAAACTGACCATGTGTAAATACTAATACCACAGGAGTTTGTCTTACCATTAATTTGTTTTTGAAATGGGAAAGAAAAATCAGAGTAAAAGAGTAAGAAACAGATCAAGCAACAGTAGTATAAGTGACTTAGATACAAGTTTAAATACTAAAAAACAGAAGACAAATACATTCGAAGAATCTATAGATGAAACTATTGAAAAAATGGCTGAAAGTAAACAAGGTGATATTGCAGTACAACTTAAGCATATTAACCAAAAATTGGAAAATGTTATTACAAAAGATGACAATTTCTTAAAAAATATGATAAAAGATGTCATCTTAGAGATGCGTTCTGAAATATGTTCGTCCATTGAAAAGAAATTAGAAGTTATGGAATCACAAATGTTTGATTATTTGAAAGAAAATGCTTATCTAAAATCCCAAATTGCTGAACTTGAAAAGAAAATTGAAGCCAAAGGAAGTGTTCAAACAGATAAGATTAATATGATTGAGAGAGTAGCAAGGTCCCATGCAGAACAACAAAACGAACATGCTCAATATAGCCGTATAAATAATGTACGAATAAATGGTATCCCAGAAACAAATGGTGAAACAGCTGAACAAACAGCACAAAAAGTGGTTGAGAAATTAAATGGCAAAATTCCTGGCTTAAATCTTATGGTAAGTGACATAGATATAGCACATCGAATTGGGAAACCAACCAATCAAAATAGGCATAGAATAATTTCAGTAGATGATGAAAGTGAATCAATAAATTATGCTGGGAAAAGTATAGAAAGGACTGTACATGAAAATCATACACGTATAAATGAAGGCATTGGAAGCAAAATGAATGATATGAAAAAAGATGAAACAAAAAAGAAAAAGGAAAGCAGTGAAACTATGGCCGAAAAATTGAAGAAAACGGAAAATGAAGAAGTTATTAGTCATAGACAAATTATTGTGAGATTTGTATCAAGAATGAAAAGAGATAAACTACTGAGAAATAGGAAGTATTTAAAAGGAAGCAATATATTTGTAAGTGAAGATTTAACGCGTGTTAATATGCATGTTTTGATGGTAATCAAAAAGAGTGATCCAACAAAGGTTATAAATGCCTGGTCAAAAAATGGAAAAATTTTCTATAAAAGCAGCAGTGGAAATGTGATCTTTGTGCCCTATCAAGAATATCATAAGTGGCTTAATATTTCGTGGAATAACGTCTAATAGATGAAAACAATATAAATAAAAGTGAAACATATAAGAAATACATTATCAGAAAAATCAAGTCCCTGTGGAAAAATCATTTACAGCAGGCCACTTCTAACAGTTAATACACAACTTCATGATTTTTGGTGTGTAAAAAAGTGTGAGAAATATCATTTTTATAAAGACACTTTTTATTGTAATTTAAATATAGTAAATACACAATTTCATGAATTTTTGTACATTTTTTGATAGTTTTTTTTCCCAAAGATTAGTTGTTGTTTTTGTTTTTTTTGTGTCTTGTTTTTTTTGTTTTTTCATTTTTTATGTTAGAAGAATTATAACATGAGTTAAAACTGGGACCTTTTCTCACATGTTTTTATGTGGTTTTATATAATCTTTAGCCTACTATTTAGATCTTTTTTCACATAGACATGAAACTTTTTTAAGTTACTATAGTTTTTGGAGTTATACTGTTTAATAGATTGTTAAATAAAAGTCATTAAACATGTTTGCTAGAATCATAAAAAGAATACGAATATATAAGAACTAAACCAATTGTTATACTGCCATCTTTAAACTTCTATATGTATGTGTATGTATATATATGTATATATATATGTATATATGTGTATATATATATGTGTATGTATATATGTATATATATGTATGTGTATGTCTGTGTATATGTGTGTATGTATGTATATGTATAGAATAATATAGTTTTATTGTTTGCAAATTTTGTTTATACACAGTTTGCATTAAATGAAATGTTAAATGTCATTTGTGTTCAGTATGTTTAGGTATGTTTTTTTAATTACAAGAAACTACTGATTCTATATACATAGTACACTTATAAAGTATATTAAAAAGATAAACATCCTGTATTTTGATACTTTTTTCACAATGTTGAAACATTTTCAGAAAAATATAAATCTTAATTTTGTTTCAATAGTTTATAGATATGTATTGTCTTTGTATAAATTTAAGTAATGGTGTTATGTTTTTCAATTGAGAACAAACTTTGTCTCAAAGTTATCATGCTTACTTAGTGTATTAAGTAGATTAATTTTCCTTTTCATCCTATTTCCAAACATATGGATGTTGATAAGTCTTTGCCATAAATAGAAACTTTTTCAAAAGTTGTTCAGCGTGTCAGTAACTGTTTTTTTATTTGTTTTTTTTTTGTTGTTGTTTTTCTTTCCTTTTTTGTTTTAGACATACCTTATGTTTTTGTCTATGACAAAATGATTTTTTCCTTTTGTATGTCTTTGAGGTTTTCGAACTTTTTTATCCTTAAAAGACACACTTTAGAAGGAGAGTGATACTTTTTCTGTTTGTGGTTTTTATCTAAATCTTACAGATTATTTAAAACTAAGGATTATTAGACTTCCAATAAGTGTTGTTTCTTATTACTTTTTAGTCCCATATCACAGATAAAATATAAATAACAAAGATAAAAGAGGAAAATCTACGTAAGATTTTAAAGTATAAGAACAATTCTTGGATGTTTTTTTTTATTATTTTATTTGTCATTGAAAATTGAATAAGATAAACAACATATACTGAATTCAAAATAATTAAACAAGTACTTTTTTTATAAAATTTTGAAAGAGGTTTAAGTCAAATACTTAAGCATTTTTTTTTATATGATTTGTAATAAATATTTGTATGTATGTATGTATGTATATTTGCATGTATGCATGCATGTGTGTATGTATTTATGGATTTGTTATAGTGTATGCGCGTGTGTGCGTGCGTACGTGTGTGCATGCATGCATATGTATATGAAATTTATTATTAAAGGAAAAAATATGCAAAAGATCAAACATCATAAATCACTCTGAAATC